CGCATGAGTTGGCTCACGATGGCTTGTCGGCGCGTCAACCGCAGCCACAGGTCGCTGTGATGTCTACCCTTCCACGCGCGTCCCCTTGGAACACACACACACACACACACACACACACACACACACACACACACACACACAAACACACACAAACAACCCCACCACCCATTCACCAGGTGCTGCCGAGGAGCTGCGGCGCCTGGCTGACGGCTACCTGTCAGTGGCCCACAGCGAGCTGCCCGGGCACGCACACCTGGGGCAGGAGGACCGCGACACACTGAAAAAGGAGGCGGGGGAGGCGCTGGCCTGGCTGCAGGACAAGCTAGCGATGCAGGTGGGGGGCCCAGGCTTGCCGCGGGCCGTGGTTGCGGTGTGCGATTTTTTCCCGGGTGTGGCCCATTTTTAGGTGGTGGATTGTCTGGAGATGTTGCGCGAGCGTGGGCGAAGGCGCGGGCGCGGGCGCGGGGGAGGGCACGCGCCTGGGCGGAGGTGGCGGTCAGGCTCTGTGGCCGGGCCGCGCGCTGCTGCGGGTGCTGTACTGCTGCCTGTGGATGGGGCGCGGCGCGAGGCGCCGCCGATCTCGCACCTGGGCGGGGATGGAAACGGCTTCCCCCCACCTGGGTGTCTTGAGCTTGCACAGCCGACAGGCCCTGTATTTTTGGGCTGGTGCGCCCCTTTGCCGACGCCTGCACAACCTACTCACTCCTCCCATCCTCTCGCACCTCGCCCTCCTCCGCGCTTCGCCCCGCAGTCCCAGCTGGCGAAGACGGACGAGCCCGTGCTGTCCACCGCCGACATCCAGAAAAAGGCCGCGGTGGTTGACCGTGTCTGCAAGCCCATCGCCACCAAGCCCGCGCCCCCGCCCCCCAAGCCCGCCCCCGCGGCCGCGGCGGCGCCGGCGGCAGCGGAGGCGGCGGCGAGCGCAGCAGCGGAGGAGGGGCAGCAGCAGCAGGAGGAGGGCGGCGCGGCGCCAATGGACGCGGACGCTGACGCGGCGGCGGCGGCGGCGGGTGCAGGTGCAGAGCCGATCGTGGAGGAGCCGATGCAGTCGTGATGTCAGCATGACGTCATCATCTGCAGCCGCCAGTCGGATAGTGTCTGGCCTCGCGGGTCAGGTTTTCGCAAGTCTGTGTGAGCGTCGGTCGTCGCCCGTCTCGCGTTTTCTTTTGCTTTTTGTCTGATCCCGCTTCCACTTGGCTGTGGCAGCCGGGCCCCGGCCGCAACTTGAGCCAGTACGCACACGCGGGCAAACCCACGGCGCGCCCAGCGGCGCATGCGGCGCCGCCCTGCACTCGCACTGTGAGCGTTGTGTCGTGGCGGCGTACCCTCTCATTCCAGGGTAACAGCCGCGCGCTCAGCTGCTGTCATGTTAAGATTTACAGGCAGCATGGCGGCTGCAGCACTCAGGCGCGGCCAGTTGAGGGGGTAAGATGGTGCTCACGTGGCGGGGCAGGGTCTCCACTCAGAGAGCTGGTCGCGGCTGTGCAGAGCAAATACCGTGTTGCGCCCAACGCTTCCGACGAGTGCCCCGGGGGCCAGGCGCCGCTGTCTGTTCGAATGCCACCAGAACAGGTGCTCCATGGTGTCGACCTGTTCACTGTGAAACAAGTGCATGTCTGAGCCGCGTCAACATTGTGCTGCAGGTGTCGTCATCATAATTTGATGTCATGATGCTTCTGATGAGAGGCACATTGGGAATACCACCCCGCGTGCTGCTCAGTAGCTACATGGGGCACGCCGCTCTTGCGTGCTTTTGTGGTCGCCTTTGCTGAACACCTGTGAGCTGAGGTGGGCGACGCCTCCACTATGAGCAGCGGGACTGTGATGGGGTCAAAACAACAGCGGCAGCTGCACAGTAGGCAGAGACAAAGAGGTGGACAGCGGCTGCGGCTCCGCAGGACTTCTATCTTGTTACTTTGTACAAGTTGACCTTGGCGAGACTAACGCGTCCATTATGGCTGACATCCAGCAGCACGGCTACGAGGTGAGGGCACGGCGGCCAGATCACGCACAAACGCGGGATACCCACAGATAACTACCGCATCGATGTGAACGTGCAGGAGGTGGTCGATGGAGACGAGATCAGCTCTGAAGGCGACATGCCCGAGTTGGACGGTGGGCATCGACGATCATGATTCCCGCCTCGCTGATTCGGGACACCCCAGAGCATGTCAACAGTTGTACTACTCACTGCTGGTCTGCTCGCCGCAGCATGGCGGCTGCGGCGCGCTCGCCGCCGCCGCTGCGACCGCCCAGTGGATTGGCTTGCCTCAACCCCACTCCCTCAACCCCACTCCCACCCCCTTAGAGGAGGAAGAGGAGGGCGGCGAGGGCGGCAAGGGGGGAAAGCAGAGCCGCTCCGAGAAGAAGAGCCGCAAAGCCATGCAAAAGCTCGGGTGGGTCGCGTTGCCGGGTAAATTGATGCGGGCTGGGGCACCGGTGGCGGATGCCCGTCACCAATTGCGACTGGGCGGGTTGGAGCGCTGCTGGACGCAGGCTGAATCCACATTACATCCGCAAGCAGCAGGTACCTAGAGGTTTACTTGCACCCATTAGAAGAGCGAGCTTGCCCCTTCTATCTGCCCTGCCGGCTGAAAAGGTCCGCCGCATGCACAACACACCGTTTCAGGATGAGGCAGCTGCCCCACGTCTCCAAGGTCGTCATCAAGAAGGCCAAGAACGTGAGGCAACACCGGGGGCCAGCAGGGCCAGAAACAATGGCCCTCTGGGGTCCTTGACACACGGGCACGTGCAGCCGTGGCCTGGCCTAATGGGGATTCACCTCTGGCTTCCAATGTAACGGGGAGGTGAATCCCCATTAGGAAACGGTCTCGATCAGGGCCCCTTGAAGGGGTTCAAGGCTGTAACCTCCGCACTCCTAGTCTTAAGCCACCTGCTGGGCAGCTGCCCCACCTCCAGTGGTGCTAGATTCCGGCAGACTCTCGCGTATATGGCCCTAGGGCTTCGCTCAGGACCCTCCAGGCTCCAGCCGTTACACTCGCTCCCCTCTGACCCGGCTGCACAGATGCGGACACCGCCGTCGCAGTCAATCAACACACACGCTCCGCCTCCCTCGATGCTCCCAGCATTGGTTTCTTTAATCCACTTCCGTTTTGCTCTCGTCGCGTGCCCGCCAGCGAGCGCAACAAGCACCCAACCCCACCCCAACCAAAATCTCTGCCGCCGTGGCCCGCTTGCTAACCACGGCCTCAGATCCTCTTCCAGATCACGGACCCGGACGTGTTCAAGTCCCCCAACAGCGACACATACGTGATCTTCGGGGAGGCCAAGGTTGACGACGTATCCGGGCAGGTGAGGGTGTCTCAAGG